CTACGGCAACGCTCTCCAAGCCGCCTCATTAGAAGGCCATCAAGAGATTATCGCACTACTCTTAGATAAGGGAGCAGATATTAATGCCCAGGGCGGCTTCTACGGCAACGCTCTCCAAGCCGCCTTATTAGAAGGTCATCAAGAGATTGTCGCACTGCTCTTAGACAAGGGAGCAGATGTTAATGCCTAGGGCGGCTTCTACGGCAACGCTCTCCAAGCCGCCTCATTTCGAGGCCATCAAGAGATTATCGCGCTGCTCTTAGACAAGGGAGCAGATGTTAATGCCCAGGGCGGCCGCTACGGCAACGCTCTCCAAGCCGCCTCATTTCGAGGCCATCAAGAGATTGTCGCGCTGCTCTTAGATAAGGGAGCAGATGTCAATGAAAGAAATGGCTCTATTACATCGTCAAAGCGGCCTGGCTCTATGACTCCAAGCATCCCGGCGAAGAAATTACTCCTCATGTACCCTGAGCCTTCTGGTCAAACTCAATAATTGTTGAGCTCTACTACGGTGTCCACCTTTTGCCCAGCTTTAACCCTCATCACTTTTACCACTTCGCAGATTCTAGGCGTGGCTAGTTAAAGTCATGACAACCTGGGCTGCGGTTTCTACTATGATATTTCAATATCCTTATCTAGTCATAGGGTCTGGAGAGAGCGACTATTCTATATATCTCTGTTTTGCCATTGACGGTATACTTGGAATGGGGTATATCGATGGAAGGGTGGTTATTATGGGAATCCAGCCAGGAAATGGAAGTGCATAGAAATAGATTTATCACTGTAAATCATTCGACCTACGACTTACAGTATTATTATTTTCTAAATATTTATTGAGTTGGGGTTTGGGGGGCACGTTTCTTAAGTAGGATATGGAATCGGTGATAGATGGCTCTGGATGGTTCTAGAAGAGTTGTCTCATTCTCTATAAAAGTGTACCTGGGAGGTTTGGAACCGGTTATCTCAGTTGGGACTCAGCCGGCAATCGTGCCCCCTGGCCAATATGAGGTTCCGCTATACCGATTGAAGCCTAGCATCTTTTTTAGCATGCGCCGCTAAATATTGACCAATCATATGCTATAAAGGCAGGAGGCACGACTGCCGTCTGAGAGACTCCTACAGACTTTATGTGGATGCGTGAAAGATCGTATCATGAAATAGGTGAGGGAACTCCCATCGCTAAGCGTACTCGATACTGAATGTTTATCGCTAATCTGTTATCAGAAATTGATTCTACACGTTGACTTCTACATTTCATCAAGATTTAGGGCCAATCCAACCACTCTACAGTCCGTCACGGTTCAGACATTGGCCGGTTATGATATCACATGACATCACATGACCAACGTCTACGTGCTTTGTAAAAGTTATCAGGAAGACTCCGCTTGATGGATCTTCCTCCTTTGTACTAATATTATCTTTCACACGTAGTACAATGCACGTATTCGAGACAACATCACTACGTGTCTACGTCCTTGACACTAGGGTTTGACAGCAAATCATGAAACTCGTCGCTAACTGCTTGCTCAGGACTCATCAAGATATGGGTGTATAATCCAGCTGCAATCTCCTTTAACAGGTTCGGATTCGTGCGCTTGGTCTCCGCTGTAACAAGGCAAGGCCTGACCTCTTCTGCTCCTCTCCAAGCTTGCTAGAAGGGATCAACTGGATGGCAATTTTGCCGATAAAGATTGGGATAGCATAAAAGATGATGCTCTTCCCAAAACCAGTCTGAGCAGAGACAATAGTATCCCCATGCCGAAAAACAATTTGTTGAAGAGTCCGAACCCGGTTGATACGTGGGAGCCGGCCACCCAGGAGTCGCTGCAAACCATGGAAGGTAAGATCATGCTGGTATTTGATGTTCTTTCGTATCAGACATGTCTTGACTAGATCTTGCAGTACCGAGCATAACTCTTTCTCTGGTGTCGTTGCAATTATGGATATCCGTTCTTCAGTTGTTTTCTCGATAGGAAATGGTTGTACAGAGGCTGGATTCTGGTATAGGGAGGTTTCACGCTGATAAGAGCGACCTTGCCGTCGCTTCACTCGCATGGAGGCAGATCTGGAGATTGAGCTTTCACGTATAACGACACGACAAGTAGTTTTAAAACTCTAGTTATAGATTAAACAGTTAGCAAATTGATATTTAAAAGCCATAGGACGGTTTAACAAACCCTTATCTATATTTCATCAACTTTTGGAGCCCGCGCAACTTTACCGTATGATGTTATTCGCCATCTCGTCATTTCTACTACATCTCGCCATGCACCCGTC